TGGTTTTGGTTTGTTATTGGCTCGTCCCTAATCTAAAACCTATTGTCCCGTATTGCCCCTAAAATGGAAAGCCAAAGCTTAAAATTTCCATTTGATCCAGAAACAGTGAGCTTATCACGGCCAAATCCCTTTCATTTATATGATTGATGCTATCCATACAAATATGTATTTTTCTCTTATCCAGATATTTCTAACCACTCCCGATTCAAAAGTACGTCTCCTCGTAAACTAGGGACATTGTGGCTTTTCGGTGATTCAAATGCTGAGAGATTATACGTATCATTGAAGGATGGGCCGCTGTGCAATGAAGTTTTCAAAATTTGTAATTTAAGTAAAATGTGGGTGTACCCGTGGCCGAGCATACAGCCAGTAGCCTGGGACGACAAGGATTTTGAACCCCAGCAAATCTTAGATCACATCCGAGAAGTCCTGGAACGACCTGAGATGAACGAAAACAGCGCAATGATTCTGAATTTGGGTCTGCATTACATGGAGAGCACAAGCTTAGCCAACTATCGGATTCTGCTAAAAGGAGTGATAGATCTTTTAAACGAAAGGAACAAGGGAAATGGTGAATTAAGGTACAAGACTCGCGTTATTTGGAAAACCACAACTTCAATGAATAAAGAGAAAGACATTGAAAGTCGACTAAAGAGTGACTGGCAGCGATTTCTGAACCCAACGGTAGGCAAATACTTAGTTTAATACTTTTTTTTTTCACCATCCATTCCCAGGCTTTCTAGCGTGTCCAAGTACTTTGAGATTTTCGTACTGTCTTTGAAAATAATGGTGGGTTTAACAGACCTTTTTTTGCGAAGCAAAAACTACAAAAAAATTTTTTTGCAATCTTGACCTTGCTTGGAAGGCTTTTGATGTACAAAGAGGGGAGGTTACTTAGCTCACCAAAATCTCTTTTTCTTTTCAGAGAGTGATACTATACAATACCTTTGCCACTTCCCTTATGTGCCAGGCTAACCTCGAGGTCCTCGATGTTTACCCATTTACCAGGTCCTACCCAGAAGGGACCGGAGGACCCGAGGTAGCACATTACAAGGAACACGATACCGTTCATTTTAAGTACATTGCCATGAAGCCAATTGATATCTTTTTGGAAGATTACTTTCGAGGCAAAGTATCGCATTCCATAAATTTAACGAATTACGAATTTTCTTAATTAATTTTCTCAACAAAAAAATTTGGACAAGTCTTTTATGAAGAGTGAAAGATTTTTTGAACAAGACGTATTCTGCTACTGCCATGTTCTTTGACGGAAGATTTTGCATCTCTTTGTTTAACTATTCATTTGAATAAAATTTGAAAGGTAATTAGACTATCAAAGGAAAGCGCTGCCCGATAAGACGTTCATCAGGAGGAAATTGTTTTTGCATTGAACACTTCTCCAATTTTTAAGGTGGAGCCCTCAAAACCATCTTTAAATCTTCTTTGCTCGGTAAATGAGTGAGGTGATGAATACGACTTCCGAAGTTCCTGGTTCATCGCGCTCACCATCGTATGTTTTGCTGGTGTTCAGGCCTTAGCTTTTTTCATCATTGTAGGAAACTCTCTCTTGCTATGTTATTTCGAGGACATTTACCTACGGCACGTTAACGAATCGTGTGTACAAAATCTTGATATCAACAGCATGGCATGTAGCAGGGATCATGGCCGCACTCTCGCAAATGCAAACATCGATAACGCTTAAAAGAGCATATACAGTCTTCGTTTCTGATGGAGTGTTTTAACGAAACCACAAAATTACTCTAACTTAAATCGCGACAAGGGTATCAAGTACTCGTTGCTTCTAAACGCATCTGGCCACTAAGATCACAAGATTTGTTATTTGCACTAAAGGAGGTTCCAAATTTGATTTCAGCTAAATCTTCTTTTCAGCTGAATGGTCGAGGTCATGATTGTGCCTTGGGTTGGTATAGAACATTATTGTGTCGGCACAATAATATATGTAAGACGCTGTAATTTAGATGTTGCACCAGATAACTCGCTCTACATTACAAGACAATCACCCAGTGAACAAAAGCAAATGTCTAATACACTTGAAGGAAAACCTGAAGAGGGAATGCTCTAGACATAATAACTTTGTTCATTTTGACAGAATATTAAATCTGTAAATAAACCAGGGCAAGCTAGGGCAAGTTCGAATTCCGTCTAGTGTTGTGTCCAATGTTATGCCTAGTCAACCGTTCGGAAATCACGCTTTTATTTTAACGTTGGCAACTGCATCTGGAAGGGGCAAGCAGAACTATAAATCAAACTCGTGGAAGCTCTGACAACGATCCAATGATAAAAAAAAGATAGAAAGTGAAGCGGTAAACCACAACACATCCGAAAGCCCAGGTTGACAAAAGGGGATAAAGATATTTCGTTGCTAAACAAACTACTTGAAAAGTAAAATTTTGACGTATGGTCCTGAAATAGCACCTTAAACCTCAGACCTTATGCTCACACTATCAAGTTGGTTTTAAGAATAACTTTACGCCATTTCTTAGAGCATTCTCGGCCTAAATTGAGGTATTGGTTTTCGGACACTATTTTGATTAATTAAAAAGGTAGAACCACCTCGAATTTTCCATATTTCTTTGCCATTAACGCATCATCAACCATATAGAATCGTAAAATTTAGCACAAATGACTGCACTTATGCTTGATTTTGTTTGTTGTTGACATTTTAACGACACTAAAAAGCTGCCTTATTTCCTAGCAGGACTATAAATTTCCTTCGCTCAATTCTGTTTCTCATTTTCATATATTCTTCTAACTTAGGACAAGTGTCTTTAATCTGACTTTCGGTCAACAAAAAACGTAAAAGGAAAAACACAAACAAGCACCCAAATATGCACTTGGGGTTTGAGAGGTTACCTCGCTGGCACGAAACCGCTATTTTCTAATTATTAATACATAACTGAAATTTCTTAGGAAGAGAGGAGTTTGAGCCAGTTTGGACAGGTTACTTAACGTGCATACCAGAAGAAAAAAAAAGCGAGATAATTTAGTAAAGAAAGAAAGACAGGGAGAGAGAGAGGAAGGAAATATCTCATAACAACCAGATTTATAGTATTCATATTTTCTAAACAGCATTAGTTAAAGAACTAATGAGTACTGAATAAGTTAACATAGTTGTAACAAATTAGCCTTTCAATTCGAAGTAAAGGCCGGCCTTTACTTTCTACGTTTGCCTCTTGTGGACTCTTCATGCGAAAGGACTTGTCGCTAAATATTTAGCAGAATTATTTCTCGTATCTATGCGGTGCCCATTGTAAATCACAAAGTCCATTACGTTTTTCTTTACGCCTCACAAGCAAAGTATCTCGCAAACTTAATCGAGAGCTTGTTCCATGAAAGTTTAGGCACTGTGAGGTTCTCCGTGATTTAGCTAAGTCCATTTTTTAAACTGATTTTAAGCATGGCGGTATTATAACTACAGTTCACGGAAGCTTTCTCTTTTGTAAAATCAGATGATCAGTATATCGTTGGAAATGTTGTCCCCTGAGCAGTCTAATCTGTAGAAATGCCTTTATATAAATATTTGTCAGTTTCACGCAGGATATAAACCTCCTCAGTGACAAAGATAGACACTTAGGATCCGTTGTTTACACGAGGTCTAATCCAAACCACAGTTTTACGCAATCAGTGGGCTTAAAGCTTCCTCTACAGGAGCGTTGATTTAATTGACTAAATTTCCTTCCACTGTTAGCAGTCGGTTCCCATGACACAGTTGGAAAAAAGAGTGTTCAAATAAAAGATTCATTTAAATTTAGGATTGTCTAGGACGCGGTTTTGGTAAACAACGGCTAAAATTGGTTTAAATCATGAAACCTAGATGTCTGAATGACTTTTCTGTCGTTCTTTTCGTAATTCTCAAAGGCTACAAACAGCTTGGAGCATCGACGTTTTAGCATTATGCGGTTCTCCGTGCTAAAATATGGCCATGTGTAGTTTTCATTATGCAATGTGATATTAGAACTGTAGCCACAACAGCCTTTTCCTTTGTAAAAACCAGAGGATTTATCGTGAGTCGTCTTGTCCTCTGAGCAGTGGAATCTATCGGAAATTTCAAGATAATTTGGTTTTATAAACTGAGTTTATAACATTTATTGGCCACCGTAGAGAGTTTCTTGAGCCGTCCTTTGAAGCGTTAGCCCTGACTAAGGATAACGCTCGCCGGAAACGTTAGCCCTTCGTCTCTACCAATCAGGGCTCGTAAAGTTTATTTTTGCGCTTGAAAGGTAAGAAATAACTTGTAATACTCCTAATGAAGCAGCACCATAGTTTGTTTAGAAACTTACTGCCTTTCTTTAACAGTAGAAAAATGTGTTTATAAGTATTTACCACTTGCAAGTTGGAGATTACCTCTTTTGTGACAAAGCTTAATTAACATTAAATAATCGTCAAACGAAAAAAATTTGTCTGTCATATCAATTTTCCTATATGTTGGTATCATTTAATTACTTAACTATGTTATTCAAAACTATTTTCAACCTTTATTGTAGTCAGGTTGAACTCCTACACAATATTCTCTTTATTGTGTGAAGGTTAATTGCGGTTCAAAGCTGTTCACGAATTTGGTGCGAAATTTAACATATTTTATCGAAGTTTGGTTCGAGTAAAGAGTAACACAATTCTCGAATCCTTCCACGCATTTTTCGTGTTTTCGCGAAGGAAATGCCTTTGAAATAATTTAGTGACGATTGCTATGGAAAGAAATCTTAGAAATGTCTTGAAGCTTTCCAATCATTCAGGCAATCTCAGCCAGAATTAACAACAGGGTTGATATTCGTCGCATAGCAACAGTTACGGTTACGATCCGAACTAGTGGAAACGTTTGCTCTTGGACTGACAAAACATTCAACTGTAACGTCTGCTGTTTCCAGGTGTCGGCGAATATTTAGAAGAAAGAAGATTTAGCAATTTAACTTCGGATTTAAGTTCAACGTGCCTGCATAGAAGATATCTTGAAAATTTTCAGTGCTCTAGAAGACTTGCATGAAAGATTCTGCACAATAGATCCAGTTTTGCCCACGCGATAAGTTAGATGGATATGACGTTTATTCATGGTTCAGTTGAGCTTTCAACTGTGAATTATTAATGTTCGTTCTTGTTTCGTGCGTTCTGCATTGCGGTTTCGTTTGTTGATTTCTTAAATAGACACAGGCAAGGGAGAGGTCTTTCAGTTGAGCACCAGTCTCAGAGAGGTAACACGACTATAAAAACATGTATTTCCTTAGAGTTTTATGCACAATTTTCATTTCCTTATCTCTTCTATTTCCAGTGAGTGCAAAGTCATTCATCTGGTCTCGCGATCACATTGTCTATACCCAAGTCTCATTGCGGACCGATTGTGGAGTAAAAATAAGCTTTGGTAAGTTAGAAGGCCACTGTTAATTTCTTTCTGTGCTCTAGTTGGAAATTTAACCTAATTATCAATATGAAGTGGGCAATTCTTTTGGCGACATTTATGCTTGTTTTACATCAAACAAAAGGTAACGCATTCGTCGTCTTGTCTTTATTCATCTTGATTTTAAAATTATGATAATTATTATTTTTCCCGAGGGCTTCATGAATTGACGATTATATCGAAGCATTACGAAAAGCAATTATGAGATAAAAGAATTTAAATCCGCGATTTCCTCGCCGGTTTAATTTGGATTCGTTAACATTTCATCATTATAAAGTGCCTCTTTTCTCACAACTACAACTAAATGGAATGTATTGTTACCCATCATAAATGAGAGAGTTGGAGTTCAAAATTGGTTTTTTACTCGCTCTCAGGTCAGACGTGGGCCTCAGTGACTTGTAACTCCAATCACACTGTGAGTATATTGATCTCAAACGTGGATGATGTAAAATTTTGGGACCCACCAGAGTGGAGAACATC